TTATACTGCAGATATGTAGCGTGGACTGAGTTAACTTAATCCTTTTCATTTGTCTGCGCAAAAACGGTGGGATACCCAGTCATACTCTATCGGGCAGTGAGAATGTCCTACCACTACACAAACAGGTAATTAGAAACACCGGTAACTTTATACAAATATAGATAATTATTGAAATATGTATATAAATTGATTAGGTATGCAGAAAATGTTCCTTGGGAACCATAGATATTCGAGAATAAATTTATTCTCGATTTTTTAAAATTGGGGACATTTTCGTACAACTAATATAAAGATACATATAAACGATGATAATGTCATGTTGTTCGTTTCCGAATACACCTATCTGCTTGGGTAGCTAGCTAATCGATGGAGACGATGGAGTCGCGCCTGGAGTGTCCTCACCAGTGCGCTACGAGCCTGGGCGGGATATATGGAGAACTAGGGTGGCCCGGACGTCCAGTTCCCCCTCTCAGCCTTCGCTAGCAGTGTCCAAAGCAGAGGATGAACCAATACAGTTTGGTACCAGCGCGGCTGAAGGAGTTGCCGGAAGGCAGCACAGAGTGCCGTCCATCCACCTTAGGGGATCCACTTCGGGTTTGTGTAGGGATTACTCCTTAGCATTTTCTTCTCCCGAATATTTCCACGAGGCAGTGGAGCTATTTAACCCATAGCTGGGGTTTGGCTCATGGGCACCAGGGCGTGTCCACACACCGGTGGGTCTGCATGCCGCATGTTAAGGGGGCTAAACTCCTCCCCCGTCCCCTGTAGTTTAGCTCGAGTTCACAAGGTGCTCGGTTGCCATGTGTCGCCACGACGTGGCACTACATAGGACTTGCTGATGGAGAGGCAGGGGAAGACTTACGCGCTCGGCTCCCCTTTCTGTTAATAATAAAAATCTGAGAACTAAGTACACTCGCTCGCTAGCCGTCCTAATAGACGATCAATTAGGAACGCCATGTGCGTGAATGGCTGATGTGTATCAGGGCTTGCTCGTTTCCAGGATTCTGCAGCAAGGTGTAGTCCACGGCCTATTGAAGTGGGTTGGACACAGTGAATATCCAGTTGATTCTTCAATGTAAGGAATGTCCTCTTTCCGATTCATAAGAATTATTATGGGCGTCAACATGTCTGGTTAGCCTATGACTTTTTAATTTGAAGTCCAAATTATCCTTCTCTAAGACTCTGGATTGACTAGATAAGCCAGTCTTCCATATTAAGCTGCAGAAACGAATGACAGATACATTACTTTTTTGACAAATATTACTTTGGAATATCATGTTGTATTTGAAGACTGAAGCATAGAAATTCTTCCTTGATTTTATCTTTATATTTTATATTATTTTAATTTTTGACTTAGTATCAATCTCTTCACAATTAATAAAGAAAAATGCTGGAAAGATCTGAAAAGATGATAGTGAGATGGAGCATGATCAAGAGTTAAAGGGGGATAAAGAAAAATACATATTTGATGCATAATCTTTTCAAGCGTGTCTCGGCCATTAGATGGTTTTGTATTATCGTGTAAGTGCAATACGACTTTACGATTAACAATGATGGGGGATTTTGGTGCAAATGTCTGTGCAATGCTTGCAATTGAGGCCATCATCTCTCAGCATTAACTGTTTTGTTTTCATTGAGCAGTTCATGCTAGGTGACACATTTTCCATTTCAACAAACACAGAGCCTAACTTTTTTTGGATGTGAACTGTATGGTTTGCGGATGGATTATACTGTTTTTCAATGAGTTCTAACGATTTTCGTTTTCGTTAGACATGCTTATAGACAACCCAAGTTTCCTCACTGTTAATGATCCTACAAAAAAAGGCTCGTTTTCTCTGCAATGACAAGCACACACCAACCATAAAGTGGGCAAATGATAAAGGACTCAGTGATCATGTATATAAATATGTTCGATTATATGAACTTGTTTATAGTTCGAAGTGTGACTTGCATTGAACATGTTAATTCTCGTGTAGCTTGCTGAGGATTTTTATAAACTACATTTTGCAAAAGTCCAGTCTTTGTATCTAGAGTGAGGGGGAGTTTTCAAGTGAATATCATCTGATTAATAGTGGCCCTAAAATCATACCCAGATACTTAAAAGTGAATTTCCGTTGATAGAATGATATTTCTTACAAATTCCGTTGCTAAAGAACCTCTTTCTAATTCATTCAATGTCTCTGTCTATATTTCCTCAGGGACACATGGCACTGTGGATAAAGGTATTAGTTAGACCCAGTGACAGGACTCAAAGTGTGTGAGTTCAATACCTGGTTAAGGCAGTGGAGAACATTCAGAAGGAAATTAACAGGAGATAACTGATAACTGACATTCATTAAACATGGCACGTGGAACTAGAACAGTCTACCCCAGTTAGTAAAATAAAGGGTTCAGTTCGACATTCCAACTACCTGAAGAAGGCCGGAGCGTACAACGGCCTAAACGTTGTAATAAATATGGCGACAAAGATGAGGACAATAGTCCGAATAATGTAAGTAATGTCTCATTCAATGTCTTTACAGGTTTGATCTAACGCCATTTTGAAAGGATAAAATCGATCAAAAATATACCGACTCCGGCATGAAAGAAAGAAGAATATTGAACGTGAAAATCAATGTCTATTTACCGCATCTATCGGAGAAGTACCCTCAAAGTTATCCTGTCAAAAATGCGACAGGACTTTCTTTCCAACCTAACACGAGATGAACTCAATAACCTCAGCCGGAATTTAAACTAATCTTATAGCTTCTTTTACTTCGCTGATGAAATATTCACGAAGCGTACATCCTACTCGAGAGAATTAGTTCCTGATAGTCGCTTACCAACTATAAAATTGTAGAGATTATCTGTCATTTATAAAACTTAAATCCCTATGCAACAAGGCGAATTTTATGAAGCATCCACTGGGGTGAGAAATCACTTCACTGGAAAATCGCTCTGTGGAAACAGAGAAAAATGCGGTGAATTTATAGGTAATATTGCTCTTCCTATATGACAATGAATGCTGGACGATTTCATTATAGATGAAGAAAAGATATATAATCCTTATTGAGGATTATATATCTTTTCTTCTGAGAATACCATCAACTTAGCAATGTTTAAGTTTTAGAGAGAATGGAAGTAAAAAAATGGTTATACTTAGAATCAGAAAAAAGACAATTTGGCACATGGTGAGGAAAGTGAGCTTGGAAAATTTGACACTGACAGGACCTATCGAAGGGAATAGGGACAAACGAAAATAAAACAGAGCCTAAGTAATGAAATGGTGGAAATGATTGACAGACATGGGATTAGGAGAGATAGTAAAAAGGGTAAAGAATTTCTAACGGCTACAAAGGACGGGAGATTGTGAAGAGACATTATCGCCGACGACATTAAAGGTCACGGTAGATGAAAGAAGAAGAAGAAGAAGAAGAAAGGGAAGAAGAAGAGGAAGAAGAAGAAAAAGAAAGGGAAGAAGAAGAAAGGGAAGAAGACGTTTACTACATTATTGTATGATGAATATAATTTAGCAAAACACAAAGCCATATTCATATGTGACAAAATTTGTACAACGCGAAGTAATGTTCTTTTAAATTAGAATCAGATCTCTTTCTTGATGGTGTGATCCCTAAAGATATTAATTGGGGTTAAGTCTACAGAATATAGAGTATCCATGTATTTACCGAACTCAAAAAAAAAAAAAACGATTCGAATTACGTGATTTTCTTGTTAATTATTATTCCTATGATAAATGCTCTTTTTACGGCAATTACATTCTAGAGTGTTGGTTAGCGAGAATAACTTGTTAAGCGATAGATGTTTTAGTAGAAATACGAAATTAGTAGAAAAATAAATATATGAGAATTAACAAATTACAGATAAAGAAATAAATGTAGAAAATAAATAAAAAACGATTTCAAAGCAAGAAAGAAAGACCAAAAAGAAAGAAAGACACAAAGAAAGAAAGAAAAATCAGTGAATTTAGTTGAATAAAAACATGACAGTGATAAGAAAATGAAAAAATAAAAAAGCTAGACTATAGTGAAATTAGTCACTGAAAAATGTTTTTAAAATGACTTACCCATTGAATAAAACGAAGAATAAAAGAAAAACATAAAACCGTTAGATTTAATTACTGATAAAATGATGATGCTGACGAAAAATTTCAAAATAAAAGAAAGAAATTCATCCGTGAATTTAGTTATTTCAAAAACAGAAAAAGAATATAATCACAGAATCAAAAGAAAGAAAGAAAGAAAGAAAGAAAGAAAGAAAGGAATGGGTGAATTTAGTAAATTTATTTTTATTAAATCAAAATGGAAAGAAGGGGAAGACAAGAAATAAATGAAAGTGAAAGTGAAAGTGAAAGTGACATGGAAGACGAGAGAAGGATCAAAAAAAAATAAAGAGAAAATTGAAGAAGAATAGAAAAATCAAATATGAAGAGATGTACAAAGTGATAAGAAATTGAAAGTCAAAGAAGTTGATGAAAATTAAAAGCAAAAGTAAAGAAGAAAACGTTGAAGAATCAGAAATGAAAGATGAAATCTAAATGGATCAAAAGAAGTTAGCGAACCGAATATTTTAAAAGGCACAAGGAAAAAGAAAGAAAGAAGTGAATAAGAAATTAAAGAATGGACAAAATGAAGGAAAACGTGTGAGAAAAAAGTGGGGAGAAGATGAAGAAAAAATAAAATAGCAAAGTGAGGAAGATAATGAAATCCTGGAATTGAGTAAAAGAAAAAAAACTGATCAGCGACGCCAACATTCTATTGTTCAGCCATGTTGGCCTGTTGCTTAAGAGGTACCTTGATCAATAAACATTTCACTTAGAGTCTGGTAATTAAAAGAATTAAATTCTACTGAGTGTAGAACGCGTTAACATATCTCCAATTGTGATCGAGTTTACTGAAGACAGACGGCTTATTTAAAAGACAGAAATCAAATTCACCAAGGCATTAAAAATTAAAAGAAAGCATTAAAATGTGCAAGAAAATGGTAAACTTTGCGAAATAACAAAGAAGGAAGAGGGGAAAAATTAAGTTAATGTTTTTTTAGCAGGGAAACAAGAGCTCTATTGACTATAAGCAATGGCAGTACTTATCAGTAATGTGGACATTTGGATTAGAATTATTCTCTACGTAAATTGAATCAAAGTACCGTTTGGAATGATGAAAAAAAATAAAGAAAACGTGTTGATTAGAGATTAAAGGTTTAACGAATTCTTGAAGGCAGCGTAAAACATTTAAGAATGAAGAAGAGAAAGACAAAAGATGGCATAAAGATGCTGAATGAAGAAGATAAAGAATAGAATAAGAAAAACAGAAAGAATAAAGAGAAAGAAAAAACAAAGACAAAGAAGTAGAAGAATAAGTAGAAAAATAAGAAGAGGAAGAAGAGAAAGAGAAAAAAGAAGGTAAAGAGAAAGAAGAAGAAAAGAAAAAAAGAAGAATATGAAGAGAAAGAAGAAGATAAAGAGAAAGAAGAAGAAGAAGGTAAAGAAAAAAGAAGAAGGTAATCAAAGGAGAAGAATATGAAGAGAAAGAAGATAAAGAAGAAGAATGTAAAGAGAAAGAAGAAGGTAAAGAAGAAGAAGAATATGAAGAGAAAGAAGAAGATAAAGAGAAAGAAGAAAAAGAAGAAGGTAAAGAGAAAGAAGAAGATGATAAAGAAGAAGAATATGAAGAGAAAGAAGAAGATAAAGACAAAGAAGAAGAATATGAAGAGAAAGAAGATAAAGACAAAGAAGAAGAATATGAAGAGAAAGAAGAAAATAAAGAAAAAGAAGAAGAAGAAGATAAAGAGAAAGATGAAGAAGAAGGTAAAAAGAAAGAAGAATATGGTAAAGAAGAAGAATATGATGAGAAGAAGAGAAAGAAAGAGAAGAAGAAGAAGAAGAAGGTAAAGAGAAAGAAGAAGATAAAGAGAAAGAAGAAGAAGGTAAAGAGAAAGAAGAAGATAGTAAAGAAGAAGAAGAATATGAAAAGAAAGAAGAAGATAAAGAGAAAGAAGAAGAAGTAAAGAGAAAGAAAAGAAGAAGAAAAAGGTAAAGAGAAAGAAGAAGATGGTAAAGATGAAGAATATGAAAAGAAAGAAGCAGATAAACAGAAAGAAGGGAAAGGAGAAGGAGAAGAAGGTAAAGAGAAAGAAGAAGATGATAAAAAAGAAGAAGAATATGAAGAGAAAGAGGAAGAAAACGAAAGAGAAAGAATAAGAAGAAGGTAAAGAGAAAGAAGAAGATGATAAAGATGAATAGTATGAAGAGAAAGAAGATAAAGAGAAAGAAGAAGAAGAAGAAGGTAAAGAGAAAGAAGAAGATAGAGAAAGAAGAAGCAGATAAAGAGAAAAAAGAAGGTAAAGAAGGAGAAGAATATGAAGAGAAAGAAGGAGATTAAGAGAAAGAAGAAAAAGAAGAAGAAGAAGGTAAAGAGAAAGAAAAAGATGGTAAAGAAGAATATGAAGAGAAAGAAGGAGATAAAGAGAAAGAAGAAGATAAAGAAGAAAAAGAAGAAGAAAAAGAAGAAGAAGAGGAATATTAAGAAGAAGATAGAGAAAGAAAAAGAGGAAGATAACATAATAAGAAGAATACGATAGAGAGCAAAAAGAAGAAAAAAATCTAAAGAGAAAAAAGAAGACGAAAAAGAAGAAGAAAAAGAAGAAAGAATAAGAGGAAACGAAGAAGCCAAATAAAAAGAACCACAAGAAGAAATATTGAAGAAGAAAAACATGAAGTAATAGAGGAAAATCAAAAAAGGAAGAAAAAACAACAACAGAGACACAAAAAAGAAAAAAATAAGATTGTAAAACATAAAAAAACAAAAAAATCGGAAAAAGAGAAAAAAAGTAAAAAAAAAAAAAAAAACAACTTCTCTGCAGATAGAAAATGTAATTTCTGGATCAGCGCAGATTGGAATGTCGAACGAAGAATTTGTGCAAAGAACTTTGCGGAACAAACCCTGTCTGGCACTTAACTCAGTTTACACAATCATATTAAAACAAACCTCGTTTGAAAATCACAGGCTAAAGCATGTTTATTATCATCGAATTATACGTAACACTTGAAAACAAGACTTATTGAAAGATTTGCATATATTGCAAAAGCCATCGCGGTGCCATCTATAAAATAGCAGAAGGCTGTAAATAGTTTGAATTTACAACTAGTCACTTGCATTATTTACATTATTCGGACTGTTAATCTCATTGCAATATTCACGACGTTGTACGCCCCGGCTTTCTTCAGGAGATTGTAATTTCGAACCGGACCGTTTATTTCTAGTTCCACGTGCCATGCCTCTTCCGGATGTCTCAGTTATTTCCCTTTTACTCAATTCTCCAAGTTTTTGTTTCACCGCTGTTGTGGTCTGGTATTGAATTCACCACTCTTTGGGTCAAGTCACTGCAACTAACCAACGTCTTTATCCACTAGGCCATGTGTCTTTGAGGACATATGTATATAAACATTTGGGACATATAAACCTAATTCTTCTTACCAGTGCTCATATTGCAATTTTTGTTATTATTGCATTTTTTACCATAGCTTTTGTGTTGGCATTTATTGCTTTTCTCTTGTACTCTTTATTACTGGTTCCCATATTGTATTCATTTCTATGCTTTGTCGGCTCAGGAGATTTTTGTGGCCTAGCATAAGTGCTGATTCTTTAAGTTTTTATATTTTCCAGTGATGCTCTCTGTCTATTATTTCAACCTCATTCCACAGGTAACGGTGATCTCCCTTTTCTACAACTAGTTGTACACAAAGAACAAGATATATCTTGAAAATATTCAGTCATGTAGAATAACTCGAGAACATATTACACAGCTTAGATGTAACTTTATAACTTACTACACATGTTCGGACAGAAAAACTACTGAGCAGTTTCCCATTCAATTGCACTGCACCATTGAATGAAGTTGTGTGCTGGGAGATTGTCGTATTCATCAAGAAAATGATCTTGACTATTCACTCTGTCGGAAATATTGGTATGACTTTATATCGACACATTGCTATCAACTTGATATTGAGTTTAGAGAATTCTTGACTTATTCCAAGGCAGAAGTTGACAAATGAAAACGAGGCGTAGAAGCTGACCAGTCGGGCGGGTAAGGGTCATATACGATACACACCTGGATGATCATGTCTCTTTCGATTCATGAATGACGAGGTAGATTTTCTTACAGTAGGTCATCATTTCTATCATAGGTAGACTGGTTAGACGTAACGCAAGGTTGAAAGTATGAAATATCTAGTGAGGATCGAACTCACTATTCAGTACTAATTTTTATGACAAGGGAGGATATCGAAGTGCCGGAACCTATAGAAGAGATGGCTTCATACTTTTCCCAAGAATATTTTTTCGTAAGTGAATATAACGAGCCCAACTGTATTTTAAACTTGGCTTTCAGATTCCAAATTCCGAGCCGACATACATTACACCATACAGTTTATAACAATCTTGAAAGTAGCTGTTTTAAAATGGCGGGAAAGACTGATATTTTTAAGGAGTCCTAAAAATATGAAGAATTATTATGACAGTTAATGTATATAGGTTATTTTGAGATTAAATTAAATGGCTACACTCCCTCCGAACACTACTCGTCTTATTCATTCTGTCATTAAATCATCTAAAAATGTGACTCAGTATCTGAGGTAATGAACAGCGATTTGTTTGTCAAAGTATATGTCTCTTACATGATCTTCTCTGTCAAATATCGTCTCAACTAGAAACATTTTGTAAAGACAGCACAGATCGAAAGGGGAAAAGAAATTTCACATCGTAACAAGATGACTTATAAACATCACGAATTACAAAAATGAGATCATACGGACGACGCTACTATTTACTCCGGCCTCAAAAACAAATCTGGTGTCGCCGACAAAACTAACCTGGCCGTTTGTCTTGAAAATGACCTCCAATCGGTTGTGGACTGGGGCAGGTATTGGCTGGTTAACTTTAATGCCTCAAAAACGAAACTGCTCTCTGTTGTTCACCAGACTCTACCACCGTCTCAACCGGTTGGCCGAATATTACGTCATTTTTCACTACAACTGTTTAACATTAAGTCATTTTTTTTCTCTACCACCGGTAAAACAGCGGTCAGGGCTCAAAGGTTTAAAGAAATGTATAGATATGTAAAATCTCATTTTTAGATTCATCATGGCGTCCTTATCCCCCCCCCACTCGTAATATTTTCTTCAGTCAAAATGATCAAAAGAGATATATGCTGGTCTCCCATGGGATCATTGTATAGGTTCCTGAAGTAAGATTATTTCATTCTGGCTACTAGAGCCATATTCACTTAATTATACTCTAGTCTCAACTGTTGTAACCATATATGCGTGGGCATGTCCATTTTTTTCACTGTCTGCACAGGTACTACACGCTGATCATAAACATTGCACTGTGTAGCAACAATACAATCCTTTACTTAATGAAAGTATAATTAATAGAAATACCATTTCTTATAGGAATGCTCACTATATTTTTAATAATGTCTATTCAAGTTAGAATATAATGAATTTTCTCATATTTTGTCTGTGGCTTTCAATAATGCTTAATTCTTTGAGCCCTGCGATCCTGAACAATTTTAACACTTCTGCCTGAGCTACTGAGTCAAAATTCATAAATAATTACTATGTAATGTTTCACGGTAAATATAAAAACAGTTACAGCCCTTAATCCACCGTCAATCGTACCTGGGCATTAAGTCATTTTCTCTACCAATGTCCAATCGGTGACGAGGCATTACGTCATTTTCTCTACCAATAATAAATCAGAGGTCAACGCTCAAAAGGTTAAATAGTATCGCTTTTAAGGTTGTACGTATTTAGATTAAAATATTGTTGTTTGGCTCAAGTTATGACTGTTTAGATTTTCTTTACCACATACTATGTGTCAAACGTCGTATATCGTGTAGTTGAATCTGAAAACACTGAAATAAGCTCCAAATTTAGATCGTATACCAATTAATAGAAATATCAACAACATTTACCTTACATCATTGTGCTAAAGCCAAGAGCAGGTCCAGGCAAATTACAAATGGCGTGCCATAAGAACCCGGAGATTTTCCCAAGGTTTGACAGATTTATATGGCGACAAAGGCACTCGAAGACATCACGAATAATATGAATGAGATCTTCAGTTAGTTACATTGTAAACTCTCGCTTATTGTTCTGTAAAGGAGAATTATATGATATATATAAATGGAACTGTGGATATATTGCAAGAACATGAGAAAATATAGAAACAATTGTTTCAGAGACATCTAGAAGCGACTGACCGAAGATAGAACTTGAGAAATATAGCAGAAAGCGACATATATATATATATATATATATATATATATATATATATATATATATATATATATATATATTAAAAAAGGCTTAAACACTAATATTCCATGGTTATAATTTATTTCATTGGAATCCAATTCATCAGACCTACAAATTCAAAAAGAAATCAGAAAACATAACACCGGGAATAAAAAATAAAACTTCTTTAAAACTTCTCTCTGTTAAATTTTAATCCCCACCTTCAATTTTAAGCCTTGCTGTTCTTCTTTCGTCTGTTACCCCTCTCCGGAGCTCTCATTGACATCTCACATCCGTCCAACACTCTCATACATACACTCTCACTAAATTTTATTTTTTAGTTCCGGATTTATTATTTCTGATTTTTAATGTAATAAATTATAACCATGGAATATTAGTGTTTAAGACTTTTTATTATATTCTTACTCTGTCCTGGACATTGAGTTCTACCTGAATTCTATCCTCTTGAAACTTATATATATATATATATATATATATATATATATATATATATATATATGTGTGTGTGTGTGTGTGTGTGTGTGTGTGTGTGTGTGTGTGTGTGTGTGTGTGTGTATGTATATATATATTTACATATTATATATATGTGTGTGTGTGTGTGTTAATCACTAATATATATATATATATATATATATATAGAGAGAGAGAGGGAGAGAGAGAGGACAATCAAATAAAGCGATATAAAAGGTCTGCATAATTATTAATAAATGTAGCAATATTTAGATAGATAGATAGATAGATAGATAGACAGATAGACAAAATTTTATCTTTCTTGTAACTTGCACTCCACCCTCTCATTCTTCCTGTCCTTTATTCGCAAACCCCAAATTTAATGAACTAGCCGTACTCATTTTGGTTTGAAAGTGCTAAATCACATCCACTCATTTATCTTTGTCGCGACTTGTCACGTCCAGTGTCCGACGACCAATCAATAAAGCCACCATCCTAATTTAATTGACTGTTCTTTCCGCTCGATTTTGTCCAATTCAACCAACGAAAACGAAGGTGTTGAAGTTCCCCGCTTATTACACACGACTCTGCAGACATTTTTTTTTTTTAATGCTTGTTAGTTTTCCTTTTGTTCTTCTGGATATCTTTCTTTCCTTCATTTCAGATAATTCACTTTTCTATCATTGCACATGCTTCTATCTTTCTTCTCTTTCTCTATCCTATTCTATTTATAAACTCGTTGGCTAAAAATGTACAGCGTTTACTGTTTTGTACATATTTGGATTAAAGTCT